TAGAAACCATTTGAAATTGGATATCCAGATATTCATCTGCAATGAAAAAAGATATCTCTGATAAAATGTTGGAAAAAAATAACATTGATAATAGTAGTAGTAGATAAAAAATTGACAAATAGACTATTTTTACATTTATATTCAGTAATAAAAATAATTTCTCATAATAAATATTCATACTATTTAAAAAACTTACATTTTATATATTAGTATAAATAATTGGTCTTGCTTCACTTCATTCATGGACTGTTTTAATAAAAAATTATAAATTTTATTTTTATAAAATTTGTGAAACAATGAAATAACATAGTAAAAATTCTTTGAAATCCACGGTTGCTAAGTAGCAAAATCAAAAGCTTGTAAAGAAAACAATAATAAAAAATATACCAAAATAATATTTGAGATTTTTTGCATCATATGATTTAATATTCTGTGTAATATTTATCATGTGTGCAAAAAAAAATTTGGAAGTTGGTCAATTGTAACCATTTAATAGTGACGATCCCCCAAAATTTACTAATTGTGGTGTCTACTTCTATCATGGGTCACAAATTAAATTTAATAAAAAAAATTTCTTCTGAATTAGAACTCATAATTTATTTAATTATTAACAATGACTACTTGAATTTAAATTAGCATATGTATAATATTAATAGAACTTCATGTAGTGCACATACTCTTCAATTGGTTATTGGAAAATTCCTTGTGGTTTGTGATGTATTTTTAGCAAGAGCAAAAAAGGCTTATAAATTTTTTCCTTAGTCCAAAACAAACTGAACTCCTGGAGAATGCACAAAAGGAAGTTGCTGCTAATGATGATGATGATGATGTAAATATAATTTTACTAATTTAATACAGTGAACCCTCCCTAAGTGCACCCTCCCTAAATGCATGCACTATGTATACCCTCCATAAATGCACAGCCCATCTCATCCCCAAGCTTATAGAGAGCTTATAAAATCACCCTCCATAAATGCACACTCACAAGAAATAGCACTATGTTCCCAAGGGGGTGCACTTATAGAGGGTTCACTGTAATTTTATTTGAGATAAATTAATATTTATTAAAGTTAATATCTATCACATTACAATCCTATATAGATAGCTAAAACTAATGATAAATACTTGCATGCTATTGGAGATGTACCAACAAGATGGAGTAGTTCTTTTTAGCTTGGGAGCAGATTTATTTATTAAAAGATGCTATATATGCAGCATTAGATATTTTATTCAAAAACAGAAAAAATAATCTTCAAATTAGAAAAGATTATAATCGTCTTAATAAAATACTTCTTGAAGAAGATGAGTGGGATTTTATGCTGGAAATGATTAACATATTAGGACCATTTTACAAATCAACGCTAATGTTGGGAGCTAGCAATTATGTAACAATTAGTTTGATGTATCCTGTGATTGAAGCTTTAAAAGAAAAATTCAAAGTAGATGAATATTGTGATGAACCAATTCTTGAATCATCAGAAACTGTATTTGATGAAATAGAAGTTGAAGAAGACAATGATGATGATAATAACAGTAATGGTAATAGCAGTAAAGATAAATCAAAAAAGAAAAAAATCAATATTAATAAACCTCAAGACATGTATAGGTTAGCAGATCAAGTTAGATACAACCTACATAAATATTTAAATTTTTATTGGCCTAATCTACCTGTAGAAGAATTAGTTGCATGTGTTTTAGACCCAAGGGTTAAGAAGCTAAATTTTATAACAAGTAAAAAAAGAGAAGAAGTTTTTGATATATTAAAGAAAATATATTTAGAAATGTGTCCTGAACAATCACCTACTGCAGATACTAATCAATCCACCACAGATTCTAGAATAAAGTCTAAAAAAGTTTATCAACTTTCTTTAATGAAAACTATTTATGGTAAAACAAAAGAAAAAAATTTAAATGAAGTATGTATAAATAAATTCATTTAATTCATTAATAATTCATTCTTTAAATTAAAATAAATTATTTAATATAAATTATTTAGTTATTATCCTATTTCATGTTAGATGAATTAAAATGGGATCAAGATCCATTTATCTGGTGGAAAAACCAAAAAAATAATTTCCCCACATTAGCTAAAATTGCAAAAAAAATATTTATGTGTATCTGCTACTTCTACACCAAGTGAACAATTGTTCAGTGATGCTGGCAATACATTGACAGCTAAAAGAACAAAACTCAATCCAATTCTTTTTGAACGAATAGTTTTTTAAAAAAAAAACATGGTTGATGTAGAAAAATTTTTTGATTAATAAATATATAAAATTATCTTTGATTAATAAATGTATTTATTGTTATAAAAATTTTGGATGAATAATAATTTTTTTATGTAAGTATTAATTAAAAATCTGTTATACCAAGATTTAACTAGTAAATTCATTATTATTACTATTATATTGATTGATGGATATTTGATGGATATTTGGGTATCCAGTATCAAAACTGGCAAACAGACCAAATATTCAGATATCAAAGTTATTTGACAATTGAGTATTCGGATGTCAAAATTATTTGACGATTGAGTATTTGGATATCAAAATTTTGTGAAAGGATGATCAGTGAATATCTGAATATCTGACAGATACTACCACTAGTGTCCATGAATACAAACCCTAATAATCATGGTGAATGTAGTGAATGTTCCAGATGATTTTAGTGAATTTTCTATTGGAATTTGTCCAGCCTAGGGTTAATGTCCACATTAGGTGCATTGTCATCATCAAAAGCTTTAAAAGTAAACCAAGGGGAAAAAAGAGCAACTTAAACCTACACTTGGTTGGAGTTCAAAGAATTGGAACAAAAAACATATATTGGGTTTTGTATTAGGAAAATCAAGCTTCCAGACAAAAAATCTATTTTAGTAACAACCTTATAAATTTGGTTACACATATGTTTTTAATATATAAAGAAAATATTCCAAGCCTTGTATCTCATTTTTCTATTATGCAAACAGGGTCCAATTTTTTCACCAACTGTAAATCCTTTATTAGAAATTATTATTGAGTAAAAGATGAAAAAAAAAAATAGCTGGAAGCTTGATTTTCTTAGTACAGACCCCAATATGTATTGTAAATTTTGTAGAACTTTTGGATATAAAAATGTCTTTGCAATGGGTTTGTTGAGATATAGAAAAGAAGCCATAGACTCTCATGAAAAAATTCAAGAACACCAAAATGCTTGTTTTGTAAACAATTATGACAACAACAACAAAAAACAAACCATTAAACAACTAAAATGTGTGTACTTAATATCAAAAAATCATCTCCAACCAGATTTATACAAATATTTATTAAATATAATATCTATCATCTTTTAATAATTCACCAACAGCAATCTCTATCTTGCTTAAGGGGTGGAGTGATCACTAAAGACTAGTGCCGTAAATTATGATGATGGTAGTAATTGTATTTACGGCATATAAAAAGTGGTCACAATTACCTTTGCAACCACTTTTGCAACCATACTTTTTCCTTTTTTGGATTACGGCACTAGTCTTTGGTGATCACCATATCAAAAATCAGTTATACAAAATGACTAAACAATTTTATGTTACACGATTTTATTTTGCAATTTAATAAAGTTATTTATAACAGATAACAAAGTGTTTAAGTACTTCATGACTGTTAGTATTAGTATAAAGGACATATTAAAGCTTCAACTCCTGTAGTATATAAACTTGAACTAACATAACTGCTCAAAATTTTGAAATAAGTGCCAAAAAATTATAAAAAAAATAGTAACTACTCTCTATAACAGATCTTTCTATGATGATGATGATGATGATGATGATGATGATGATGACAGAGGATCTTGCTCTATAATGGACTAAGAATTAAGCCCAATTTATATGTCCCATATATTGCTAATGGACATTTTTTCATAAACCAAATGGTCCATTATAGAGAGTGAACTATATATTTACTATACTACAACGAAATACACTATTTCCCATCATTACACTCTTCATTTGCTTTACTTGGTTGTAATTATACATGCTATGGTAATTAATAGAACTTCATGTAGTGCACATACTCTTCAATTGGTTATTGGAAAATTCCTTGTGGTTTGTGATGTATTTTTAGCAAGAGCAAAAAAGGCTTATAAATTTTTTCCTTAGTCCAAAACAAACTGAACTCCTGGAGAATGCACAAAAGGAAGTTGCTGCTAATGATGATGATGATGATGTAAATATAATTTTACTAATTTAATACAGTGAACCCTCCCTAAGTGCACCCTCCCTAAATGCATGCACTATGTATACCCTCCATAAATGCACAGCCCATCTCATCCCCAAGCTTATAGAGAGCTTATAAAATCACCCTCCATAAATGCATGCTCACAAGAAATAGCACTATGTTCCCGAGGGGGGTGCACTTATAGAGGGTTCACTGTAGTTAGGTAGACAAATAAACAAACAATTAACTAAAGAATTAAAATAATTAATATTTCAGGCATTGCTTGTAAGGGTCCAACTTTAAAATTAATTATTTCTTCTTCTTTAATAATTTGTTTTTGTATAATTTAATAAAAACAAATTAATTTTCTTTTTTGTTTATTTTTTTTGGTTGGAAATTAAACAGTAGGATTTAATTATCTATTTGGTTATCCGAGTGGTATAGAACTCAGAGGGTTTGTGTATTTGCTTTGGTATAAAGCAAATGTTTTGTTTGTTTTTCTTTACATTGGTTAACCAGTATAGTGTTAACAACAGGTTTTTACATTGGGTAACCAGTATAGTATTATAATTAACAATGGATTTTTGGGTTTTTATGTTGGGTAACCAGTGTAACATTAAAAAGTTATAATTTTTGGGTTTTGGTTAAACATAAACATTCTTGTTTTAGTTTAATTGTTTAAGTGTGTAAATGTAAGATGTTGGCAAAGTAT